AATGAAGTTCATGGTTATCAATTTTTAAGGTGTTTCAAAAATATTTTACTGTAACTTTACAATTGTTTTCAGTTTAGAAAATGGGCAATTTTTTATATTTGCACAATTATTCTTAAATGAGGTCAATAATAAAAATTCTAGTTTAAGGTGGTTGATGGATTTAGCCATATATACTGCTGCAGAAATCATTTGCCTTCTCCCTCACCTCTTCCATTTCTTTAAGATGATTAGAGGGAAAGCATTTTTCTCTATCCATTGTGTTTAAACCTTTCAAGAAGGTTATTTAGCCAACTTAGTGTTTAACTAAACTTTTGCTAAACAATGCCAAGGTCGAATTCTGTTTTAAGATTCTGAAATTAAATGAAAATAATACTTCAGAAATTTAGTGGTTTTTTTTCTTGTGACAGCTATGTAAATTAGCTTGAATTTCACGTGTCCCTGAGTTATTTTTATCATAAAGGCACCAATGTGTTATAACAAGGCAAATTGTAATACATATAATTCTGAACCCACAATTACTGTCCACACAAGAGTACACAGGTTCAGGCTGCTGACACTTGGCCAAAGGTGGGTTATCTCCAGCTCAGATGGATAGGGAAAATGGAAAGGGAAGACAAGACAAAAGTCAAGGACAAGAGGAGGCTAACAAGACTGGTAACATTATAATTTAGTGTAAGTCATCTCTTCTGAGACAGCTGTTGCGGGAAACTTCTCCAGTTGCCTCCTCAGTTCTTCCTGTAAGCATGTTGTGGCCCCCACACACTGGTGGGTCTTATTTGTCCCAGTTGGAGAGGATCCCAGGCAATCCAGGCAGCCTCCATCCATGGAATCCTCATCGAGTGCTCAGGAACCACCCCTTTTCTAAAGAGGAGCCCAAAGAAAAGACTGGTAATCTCTTGAAAACCTCAAAACCATGGAACAGGGATGAGTGTCATTCAAAGGTGTGACTGTGGACTTTACTCAAGAAGAGTGGCAGCACCTAGTTCCTGCTCAGCAGACTCTTTACATGGACATCATGTTGGAAAACTATTGGCACTTCATCTCTGTGCAGTGTCACACGACCAAGTCTGAATGATCCTCAAATTGGAATGAGGAGAGGAGCCATGGACACCATTTGTAGGTCACACTTTAGAAGAGAACCAGAAAACCAAAGACTTTTCAGTGAAATTCAAGGAACATAACGATAAATATTCTAGATCAATTGTATGCATCGACTATAAGAAACCAATTAAAGAGAAGAGTAACATATATGAAAAGTCAAAGTCAATCACTCTAGGCAAAAATTCTGATAATTCAAAAATCTTACCTCCTGAATGATATTCATGGAAAGATTTTGGAAAGTGTTTCAAAATCGATCATCAGTAATCTAAGTCCAGCAAGAAAGAGACTCAGTGAGTATAATGGGTATGGGAAATCACCCCTCAGTACAAAGCAAGAGAAAATTGATCCTCAAGTCAAATCCAATAATCAAAGTGTCAGGGCTTTCAGTCATAATGAAGGGCTTATACAGTATCAGAAGACGAGAACTCCAGTCAGTCATTTGGACATGATGCAGTGAGAAATAATTCCTTAAAACGGGAGGCTTAATTACAATTACACATAGCAGAGCATACAGAGGGGAAAAGCTCATCTGTGTACAATAAAAAGAGAAGAGCAACTAATATTAAAAATAATAATGCTCTGAATATGGGAAATCCTTTTGCAGGAAGTCAGTATTGATTCTACATCAGGGAATTTCCACAGAGGAAAAACCTTATCAGTGCCATCAATGTGGAAATGCATTTAGAAGGAAGTAATATCTCATTGATCACCAAAGAACTCACACAAGAGAGAAACCCTTTGTAGTGAATGTGGTAAGTCTTTCCATTTAAAGACAGCCCTCACTGATCACCAGAGAACGTTCCTAATGTCGGAATGCCTTCAGACTGAAGTCACACCTCAGTCAGAGAATACAGAAGAGAAACCGTATGAGAGCAATGAAGACCACACTATCTCTACATCAGAGGATTCACACTGAGGAGAAACTCAAAATTTGTAAAGAATGTGGGAAGTCCTTTCACCAAAAGGCAAAGCTTACTGTCCAAAAGAGAACTCATACAGGGGAGAAGCCATATATTTGTAATGAATATGGGAAATCCCTCTCCCAAAAGACAACCCTTGCTCTTCATGAGAAAACTCTTAATGAGGAGAAACCTTACATTAGTAATGAATGTGGAAAGTCTTTCTGCCAAAAGACAACCCTTGTAGCACACCAGAGACCACACACAGGAGAGAAATCTTATGAATGTCCTCAGTGTAGGAAGGCCTTTATAATGAAGTCATACCTCACTGATCACCACAGAACTCATACAGGGGAAAAAACATATGAATGTAATGAACGTGAGAAGTCATTCAGTCAGAGGACAAATCTCATTCTACATCAGAGAATTCACATAGGGGAGAAACTCTGTATCTGTAATGTATGTGGGAAGTTCTTTTGCCAGAAAGCAATCCTCACTGTACATCAGAAAATACACACAGGGCAGAAATCCTATGAATGTCCTCAAAGTGGGAAAGTTTTTAGTAGGAAGTCATATCTCATTCATCATCAAAGAACAGACATGGGAGAGAAACCATATAAATGTAATGAATGTGGAAAGTGCTTCCACTAGAAGACGAATCTCATTGTACAGCAGAGAACTCACACAGGTGAGAAGTTTGCAGTGAGTGTGTAAGTTCTTTCTTTATAAGGTAAATGTCATTTTCCATCAGAGAACTCATAAAGCAGAAAAGATGGAAATGCAGTAAATTATTTGATTACTTTGTGAATTATTCCAAAGTTATTTTTAACTTTTAGGGTTTCTTAAAGAAAGCATGTTTTACATGTTTATGTAATTTTAATCACAAACATAATCCTGATTATTAAGTACCATATTACATAACTACTGTTTACTAGTGTATGAAATGGGTGTAATCATTGTTAGAGAACTCTTACCAGCTATGAACTATTTTTTAAAGTTTTAATTCATACTTTATTAAAAAATACATGCAGAGGCAAATTATAAAGTGGTTATAAGCATCAGTCTCTCTTGAAAAGAAAGAAAATATCTCTGAACTCTTCTTCATTGTACTCTGTGTAATAAAGAGTAGCTAGCTTTTCCTCCAAAGATTACCACTTCCCTGGCTTATAATGTCATAAAGTAGTTTTTTGCATGTTTTATATATGAACATACATCATGAATTGTGTCCTGCTTCACTCAACATTTTAAAGACTTGTGCATTATTGCATGCGGCCATAGTGTATTCATTTTAGTTTTGTAGGCTATTCCATTTTAAGAATAGATTAGATATTTATCCTTTTGCTACATATTTGTATTTTTTATAATTTTCTGTTATTAAAATACTGCTGTCAGTATTTGTTTATAAAAAAATCCTGAACTTATGACTCTCAGTTTTTTTCTTGAAAAGTGATGAAATTCAATGTAATATTAAAATTCAAATTTTCCTATTTATTGAGTAGAAAAATCTCTTACTAATGAGTCATATACGATTTTAAAATGCATTATTTGGATATACTGTAATTCTTAATGGTTGTAAATTAGAAAAGCTGAGATTACATATGGTATGCCATTCCAGTTTTAAAGAATAGAATTACTGATGTTATAGGAATTTCAAGTCTATAGTGAACATTTGTATTTACTATGAGAAGTGGAGTGGATCAATGATGCATTCCATAAAGTATTGCTAATTATACTTCAGTGGAATCCATTCCTCATGTATTCCTGCAGATTTGGCCTGGAAATTATTTTTAAAAAAATACCACTTTTATTATGTACAATAAAATGTTTCATGAGCTTGAAAAATAAACAAACACGTGCTGGTGAGGATGTAAGGGAAAAGATACCCTAATCCACTTTTGGTGGGAATGCAAACTAGTACAGCCATTGTGGAAGTCAGTGTGGAGATACCTTAGAAACCTGAAAAATAGATCTGCCATAAGACCCAGCAATCCCATTACTAGGAATTTGCCTGAGGGAAATGAAATCAGCATATGAAAGATTTATCTGTACCCTCATGTTTATTGCAGTTCAATTCACAATAGCTAAGATATGGAATCTAACCAGATGTTCATCACCTGATGAATGGGTAATACACACATACATACACACACACACACACACACACACATACCATGGAATACTACTCAGCCTTAAAAAGAAACAAATTAAAAAGAAACAAAATACTGTGTTTTGCAACAAAATGGGTTCAAATGTAAACCATTCTAATTAGTGAAATAAGTCAGTCCCCAAATGTAATATATGGGAGTGAAAATTGATATCTGACCATTGATGATTACTAACAGCTCTCTACTACTAGGAAGAGTGTTTTTTTTTTTTTATCTTCTTGCTATTTGTTGAACTCTTAGTGTACGGTAAATATTTTGAGTATAAATAGACTGAAAGTAGATCAGTACACAAGTTAAGAGAGGGAATAGGAAAGGAAGGAGATGGAATGGTGGAGGCATGAGCAGAAGGGAGGGTAGGTGGGAAGCATCAGTATGTTCCTAAATCTGTGTACCTGGAATACAATAATTTTGTATACCTAAAATAAAATTTTAAAAATGAATTTAAAAAACTAAATGAAATACATTTTTGCAGCTTGCATTAAAACAGACAGAAATAATTATGAGTAGACAGAGATGTCTGAACCTTGAAGGTTTTATGGAGAGGAAGCAAGCTAAGAAAAGTAGCCAGCAGCAAATTCAGGTCATTTCTTTTGCAAAGAACAAGGATCCCAGAGGACATAGCAAATACCACTATCAGAGTCACAGACAAGCACAGTTGAATTAACATGACATTACCAAACTGGCTGAAAATGTCACCACCACCACTATTTCTACAAAATATATACATATTTGGATTAAAAGTGCCCTATATGTTCCATGATGCAAGCGGTTGTATAGATCTATACACATATGAAAACATACACATGCATATTTGACAACAAATAAAGAAAAATACCTCATAATTCTCTTCCTTTGGTGGAATGTCTACCTCCTTTTTTTTTGGCAAAGGTGAATCAGTTGCATTTCATCTTGCAGTTTTTTTGCATTCTCTTGGCTTGAGAGAGAACTCTGGGGATTGTTTTCCTGTTCTCTCACCTAAAGACATATTTCATAAGTTGGTCATGTCATGGCTTTCAGGAAAAATAGTTTAACGGCTTATTTAAGAGTGACAATTTTTAAAAAATTCTGTTAAGAGGAACCAACCTACCAAAGCTCCAGGGCCTGTATCTTACAGGAAATAATTAATTTTTAATTTCATGGAGCCAGTGCGGTGGCACAGTAGGTTAATCCTCCACCTGCAACACTGGCATCCCATATGGGTTTCAGTTCTAGTCCCAGCTGCTCCACTTCCCATCCAGCTCTTTGCTGTGGCCCGGGAAAGCAGTAGAAGATGGCCCAGGTCCTTGGGTCCTTGCAACCATGTGGGAGACCTGGATGAAGCTCCTGGCTCCCGGCTTTGGACTGGCATAACTCTGGCTGTTGCAGCCATTTGGGGAGTGAACCAATGGAAGGAAGACCTCTCTCTCGGTCTCTCCCTCTCACTTTCTGTAACCCTACCTCTCAAATTAATAAATAAAATATTTTTAAAAATTAACAAAAAATTTCATGAATCACAGCTAAAGTCATCAAATAGCAAAAACAGTTCTCAAATTCAGGCAGAGATGAAACTGTAAAATAAAGTTTCTTCACAAGACACTTAAGTAATTTTATTATAATTTCACAGCTATTTAGCCTGAATTTTAATATAAACATGGCTAAATCAAGCTTTATGTGAATGATTGAACTCAATTCACCTTTCATTGCTTTATAGAGAAAACATGCACTGAGTACCAGTAGGTGCCAAGCTCTACAATGAATAATTTTAGAAAACATACCATAATTTATTTTTAAAATAAATTTTAGATCGCTAACATATACATTATATATAATATATATATAGATGAAATGAAGGCAACATAATACTTAGTAATGATTAAATTTAGAAATGTAAATTTTTAGCAACAATTAATTTACCTGATTCAAATCATTTTTCAAAGTCCTCAATTCTGTTTTTATTGTGCTAACCGTCTGTTCAAGATGTTCGTTCATCTCTACTTCTCTGCAATATAGCTCCTTGATTCTCCCTAACTGTTCCCTAGTTTTTTCATAGAACACATCAGCATTTATTCTGTTCTCTTATTCTTTTTTACCCTTATTTTTTATTTTAACTTTTATTTAAGAAATATAAATTTCCAAAGTACAGCTTTTGGATTACAGTGTCCCCCCTCCCCGGCCCCGTAACTTCCCTCCCACCCGCAACCCTCCCCTCTCCCGTTCCCTTTCCCATTCCATTCACATCAAGATTATTTTTTTTTGACAGGCAGAGCAGATAGTGAGAGAGACAGGGAGAAAGGTCTTCCTTTACCGTTGGTTCACCCTCCAATGGACGCTGCAGCCAGTGTGCAGCGGCCAGCACACCATGCTGATCTGAAGCCAGGAGCCAGGTGCTTCTCCTGGTCTCCCATGCAGGTGCAGGGCCCAAGGACTTGGGCCATCCTCCACTGCACTCCCTGGCCACAGCAGAGAGCTGGCCTGGAAGAGGGGCAACCGGGACAGAATCCGGTGGGTGCCCCTACCGGGACTAGAACCCGGTGTGCCGGCACTGCAGGCGGAGGATTAGCCTATTGAGCCACGGCGCTGGCCAAGATTCATTTTCAATGAATTTTATATACAGAAGAACCATTTTATATACAGAAGATCAATTTAGTATATATTAAGTGAAGATGTCAACAGTTTGCACCCACACAGAAATACAAAGTGTAACGTACTGTTTGAGTATTAGTTATAGCATTAATTCACATTGTACAACACATTAAGGACATGGATTCCCACATGGCGAGTAAGTGCACAGTGACTCTTGTTGTTGACTCATCTGTTCTCTTATTCTTAAGGTAAAAATCCTTATCTTAGTATTCATTTTGTTAGAAAAGAGAATGCTCATTTTGTAATTTGGCTCCTATTATGAAGCTTATATATTCTAATACATTTTTATATCAAATATTTTTCTTTGTAATTATTATGTTTCTTATGTCTCACTTCAATCTCTTCTTCAAAAGACAGATATGCTTGAAAGAACACTTCGATAAATGGTAAATTTGTTATCAGTAACTCTGATAAGTATTATACAAAAGCAATTTTGAAATTATCCAGTAAAATTAAAAGTTAAAAATTGCCTTTTCTTTGCATAGTCCTAATTACCATCAATTAGGAAAGACAGTTAACTAATCACTAATAAGTTATGATTTATAAACATACATGTAATTATTAAAAATACAATAGAAGTTGTTTTTTCTATACATAAAAAGATTTTGGAAAACTAATCAGTAATCACGTCCCCTCTTATTTTCACTCCATATATGTTAAGAATAAACCAATAGGAGTCAAAAACCATTCTAGGTTGGGAAAAAACAGATATCACATGTTCTGGTGGAATTATAAATTAATATTAATTTTGAGAGCCATTTAGAAACATTAGTCAGATGTTTTAAAAGCTTCTTAGAATTTAACACAATAATTATATATTGAAGCATTTTTTTCAATGTAAAATACTTGAACATGTAAAGAAACATTTTTCTTGCATATGACCCCCAAACCACAGGCAATAAAACCAAAACTAGAAAAATGGGATTATATCAAACTGAGAAGCTTCTGTAGATCAACTGAAAGAAAAAACAGAGTGAAGAGACACCCAAAACAATGGGAAATATTTGTAAGCTACCTATCCAGGATATAAAAAAAAATTCAATAAAGAAATGGGCAAAAGAAGGACATCACCAGAAAGTTCTCAAAAGAAGAAACAAAAATGGCAAACAAATATGAGAAACAATGTTCAAAATTATCAGGCATCAGGGAAATGCAAATCAAAACCACAATAACATATTACCTCACCCCTGATAGAACAGCTATTTTCCACAAGACAAAGAGTAACAAATTCTGGTGAGGATATGGAGAAAGGGGAACTCTTATACACTGTGGAATGCAAATTAGTGCAAAAACTGTAAAACTAGCAATATCATAAAAACCTAGAAATAGATTTGCCATATGACCCAGCAATCCCACCACTGGGCATATACCCAAGACATGAACACGTTGTATCAAAGAAATACCTGTACCAACATTATTTAGGGCAGCACTGTTCACAAAAGGTACGAATGGAACCAACCAAGGTATCTGTCATCAGAAAAATAGATGAAGAAAATGTGATACACACACACACACACACACACACAATGGATTATTATTCAGATAGAAAAATAATGAAGTTCTATCTTTGCATCAAAATGGTTACAACTGGAAGACATCATGTTGAGAGAAATAAACCAACACCAAAAGATAAATACTGCGTGTTCTCCATTTTATGTGGGAGCTAAAAATAAAAAAAAAACAAGAAAGAAATTCTTGCTGTACCAGTTTCACTGCAAATATAATGTCTTGTCAAAAAATGTAAAAAGAAATATTTACACAATGTTTGTTGCAGCATTTTTTATAATACTAAAAATTAAAATAATCCAACATTCAAATTTATAAAAATCAAATTTCCATAGCATACACTACCATACCACCATTAAAATTATAATTTGCTAGAATATAGTTAATTATTAGAAGTAATAACATTAAAGAACTTGCCATATGATTTAAAAGGATTTCATATTTCACAAGAGAAAGTTTTGTGCCCATAAATTCCTAGGAAGTATGCAAACAATTCAAAATGTCCCTGCATATTTGCTGTATAAAGTCTCTCTCTTTATGTATCTCAAATAAAAAAATTAAAAAGATTCGGGCCAGCACCATGGCTCAATAGGCTAATCCTCTGCCTGCGGCACCGACATACCAGGTTCTAGTCCCGGTCAGGGCGCCGGTTTCTGTCCCGGTTGCCCCTCTTCCAGGCCAGCTCTCTGCTGTGGCCAAGGAGTGCAGTGGAGGATGGCCCAAGTCCTTGGGCCCTGCACTCGCATGGGAGACCAGGAGAAGCACCTGGCTCCTGGCTTCGGATCAGCGCACTGCGCTGGCCGCAACGTGCAGGCTGCAGTGGCCATTGGAGGCTGAACCAACGGCAAAGGAAGACCTTTCTCTCTGTCTCTCTCTCATTGTCCACTCTGCCTGTCAAAAAAAAAAAAAATTAGAAAGATTCTATATCTAAACTACTTATTTCTTTAATTTTTTATTTTATAGATAACATTTTACATATATTATGTTCCAAGACTTAATGGCCCCACTAAATAAAAAATTCAACAATTAAAAAGTAAAACTAGGACTGGCACTGTGGTGCAGTGCCCATCCCATAGAGGTGCCAATTCTAATCCCGGCTGCTCCACTTCCATTCCAGCTCCCTGCTACTGTGCCTGGGAAAGCAGTGGAAAATGGCCCAAGTCCTCGGGCCCCTGCACTAGTATGGAAGACCCGAAAAAGCTCCTGGCTCCTGGCTTCAGATCGGCTCAGCTCTGGCTGTTGCAGCCATTTGAGGAGTAAACCAGTAGATGGGAGACCTCTTTCTGTCTCTGCCTCTCTCTATGACTCTGCCTTTGAAATGAGTAAAATAAAAAAAATGTAAAACCACCATGGTGCTAAGCCAGTTCTGAATGAGCCAATTCCAACCATAAAACTATACATCAATTGATGTCCAAAAGACGGCCGGCGCCGCAGCTCACTAGGCTAATCCTCCACCTAGCGGCGCCAGCACACCGGGTTCTAGTCCCGGTCGGGGCGCCGGATTCTGTCCCGGTTGCCCCTCTTCCAGGCCAGCTCTCTGCTGTGGCCAGGGAGTGCAGTGGAGGATGGCCCAAGTGCTTGGGCCCTGCACCCCATGGGAGACCAGGGTAAGTACCTGGCTCCTGCCATCGGATGAGCGCGGTGCGCTGGCCACAGCGCGCCGACCGCGGTGGCCATTGCGGGGTGAACCAACGGCAAAGGAAGACCTTTCTCTCTGTCTCTCTCTCTCACTGTCCACTCTGCCTGTCAAAAAAAAAAAAAGACAATTATTCATTGGGGCCAGCACTGTGGTGTAGTAGGTTAAGCCTCTACCTGTTGTGCCAGCATCCCATTAGGGGACTGGTTTGATTCTCTGCTGTTCCACTTCCCATCTAGCTCCCTGCTAATGTGTCTGGGAAAGCAGTGGAAGATGGACAAAGTACTTGGACTGCTGTACCCACACGGGAGACCCAAAAGAAGCTCCTGGCTCCTAGCTTCAATCAGACCAGCTCCTGCCATTTGCAGCCATTTGGGGAGTGAACCAGCAGATGGAAGACCGAACTCTCTGACTCTCCCTCTCTCTGTTGGTAACTCGGTCTCTCAAATACATAATTTTTTTATTTTATTTGTTTATTTTTTTATTTGACAGAGTTACAGAGATAGAGAGAGAGAGAGAGACAGAGACAGAGAGAAAGGTCTTCCATCCAATGGTTAACCCCCCAAATGGCCGGAGCTACTCCGATCCAAAACCATGTGCGTCTTCCTGGTCTCCTATGCAGGTGCAGGGGCCCAATCACTTGGGCCATCCTCCACTGCCCTCCCAGGCCACAGCAGAGAGCTGGACTGGAAGAGGAACAACCACGACTAGAACCCGGTGCCCATATGGGATGCTGGTGCTGCAGGCAGAGGATTAACCTAGTGCACCATGGCGCCAGCCCCCATAAATCTTCTTTTAAAAAAAAGAAAAAGAAAGAAAGAAAAAGACAGCGACCAGCACTGTGGCGCACTAAGTTAATCCTCCACCTGTGGTGCCAGCATCCTATATGGGCACAGGGTTCTAGTCCCGGTTGCTCCTCTTCTGGTCTAGCTCCCTGCTGTGGCCCAGGAAGGCAAGGAGGATGGCCGAAGTGCTTGGGCCCCTGCACCCGCATGGGAGACCAGGAAGAGGCACCTGGCTCCTGACTGCAGATCAGCGCGGCACCGGCCGTGCTGGCCATTTGGGAGGGTAAACCAACGGAAGGAAGACCTTTCTCTCTGTCTCTCTCACTGTCTAACTCTGTCAAATAAAGAAAAAAAAGACAATTATTCATCAGTCTTTTTAAAATAATGTATCAAGGATTCTTACACTTAGATATGGAAATACTATGTAAATAAATCTACAGAAATGGCAAGAAACAATCAAGAGGATATCTGAAGGAAAAGCTTCAAGTACAGGATGTCTAGAGTGTTTAAGAAATGGTGCATTCAGTGCAGATGGAGCAGAGTGAAGGAGATAGAAACCAAACGTTTCAGTCAGAGAGAGAAAGTCAGATCATGTATTGCCTTGTAGGCATGAGGAAGAACTTTGACACTGCATACTGAATGATGAGATGAGAGGCAGGTACAAGGTTTTGAGCAGAGGAATCACATAATCTTAATTATATTTTAAGGAATCTGCTGTGTTAAGAATTGATGAAAAGAGGCTTTAAGAAAAAAATGGAACAAGAAAACCAATGAGCCATCTGCATCACTGATATAGATAGTGAAGGATAATGGCTTGATTCTGATAGGCTTACTCAATACACAGAAATGTTTCCAGAAATACAGGAAAATGCTGGGCAATCATTCCTCAGCAACATTAGGACCATTTTGTGGATCTGATATTGGAGCACGCAGGCAATGGGAACAAAGCCCAAAAACACAATCATTTTCCAACTGGTTATTAGTTTCTAAACTAAATACTTGTCAATAGGTTTTGAAAAATTGGATGTCAATTTTTTGTTAACTTGTATTTTTCTCATTACAAAACACCACATAAGATTTTTAGCAGAAGTACAACATTTGTTAATCATGAATATTCTGCTACAGTAGAAATACTTTTGCGGACCAATATCACAGTTACTGTTAAATGTTGCTACTGACTTACTCAATATTCTCCATCCTCCTTAATAGGCAACTGCTTCTTTTCAGGATGTCTATGCTTTCTCTGTGGGATGAATCCACCATCATCACTGTCACCAGCAGGAGCGGCACACTCACACAGCATTTCTGATACTTCCACTTCAATGCTGCTGAGCCTCTCGTCTTCACATTTTAGTGAAAGCTTGATACTGAAGATTGTTGTTACTATTTCATGCCACAAAAAGAATGGTTTTCTTTCATTTTATTATTTGATATTTTGTTTAATTGTGATGAATTTGTCAATAAATATTTTTCTACTTTAGCTTTAACATTACATGCTATTTAAGTATATATTCTGCGTCATTTATCACCTTAAAATTCATTTAAAATTGTGTAAAATAATAAAGTGGGCACCTGTTAATTTGCTGCGTTTATTCCCATCCACTCTTTACTACCCAACATATTCAGTAACCTGTTTGGTAGAAATAAGAATACAAAGACAGGCAATGTGCCATCTACTGTCTTTACCACCTGGATTTTACATCATACAGCCACATTCAGAGGACCTTACCCTGTGGGGGTTTCATAACAGAAAGCAAAGCTGTTTCCCCTCTGCACTAAGCTATTCTTTCCCCCCAGTGCTTTTACAATTAAAAAAAGTGAGGCCGGCGCCGTGGCTCAATAGGCTAATCCTCTGCCTTGCGGCGCCAGCACACCTGGTTCTACTCCCAATCGGGGCGCCGGATTCTGTCCCGGTTGCCCCTCTTCCAGGCCAGCTCTCTGCTATGGCCCGGGAGTGCAGTGGAGGATGGCCCAAGTCCTTGCGCCCTGTACCTGCATGGGAGACCAGGAGAAGCACCTGACTTCTGCCTTCGGATCAGCGCGATGCGCCGGCCGCAGCAAGCCAGCCGCGGTGGCCATTGGAGGGTGAACCAACGGCAAAAGAAGACCTTTCTCTCTCTCTCTCTCTCTCTCTCTCTCTCTCTCACTTTCCACTCTGTCAAAAAAAAAAGTGAAAGTGCTCCCTGAAATAGATCAAGACAAGTTTCCGTATCTCAAGAAGCAGAGGCAAACTCATGAATATGTGATTCTGGAAAATAAGAAGTTTCTCACATTTCACATTCAATAACCATAACACTTTATAGCTAGATGACAGATAAGTCATTATCTAAATGTTAGTCTCATATGCATCAATAATGGGGATCAAATACATACACATACATATAGCCAACTGACTTACAACCAAAGTGCTCTGATCACACAGTGGAGTTAATGATAATATCCTCAAAAATGGAGCTGTCAAAACTGGATGCATGTACATAGAAGAATGACATTATATCCATATCTCTCACCACATACAAGAATCAACCAAACATAGATCAAAGACCTAATTTAAGCCCTGATATTTTGAAGTTGCTAAAAGAAAATGTAAGGGAAACACTCAACGACATCAGTATAGGGAACACCTTCATGGACAGGATCCCCACAGCTCAGGCAACAAGCAAAATTAAGCAAGTGCAACTGTATCAAACTCAGAAGCAAAGAAAATGATAGGAGTGGACAGACATCCAAAAGACCACACAAAAAAAAATATTTGCAAAGCATCTATCTGACAAAGGATTAACATCCTGAATATATCAGCAACTTAAAAGGTCAAAAACAACATCAATTCAATTCAGAAAGGGAAAAGGGTTTACAGGCAGTTCTTGAAAAGGAGGATTAGCCTACTGAGCCGCAGTGCCAGTGTAAAATGCAAATAGCCAACAAATATATGAAATAAAATGCTCAGCTCTAGACAATGACATATCTCCTCACCCATAACAGAATAGATAAAATCCAAAACACAGAGTAACAAATGCTGACAAGGATATGGTGAAAAAAGAACACTTAAACACTGCTGGGAGAAATCTTAATTAGTTTAGCCATTGTGGAAAACAATGTAGAGATGAGATGAATGTGTTTTTTTTTTTTTTTGACAGGCAGAGGTGGACAGTGAGAGAGACAGAGAAAGGTCTTCCTTTACCGTTGGTTCACCCTCCAATGGCCACCACGGCCGCCGCGCTGCGGCATGTGAACCACGCTGATCTGAAGCCAGGAGCCAGGTGCTTCTCCTGGTCTCCCATGGGGTGCAGGGCCCAAACACTTGGGCCATCCTCCACTGCACTCCCTGGCCCTGGCCACAGCAGAGAGCTGGCCTGGAAGAGGGCCAATCGGGACAGAATCCGGCGCCCCGACCGGGACTAGTACCTGGTGTGCCAGTGCCGCTAGGCGGAGGATTAGCCTATTGAGCCACGGCGCCAGCAGAGATGTGTTTTTAAAACCAGAAATAGATTTTCCACATCACAGTACTGTGTATATACCAAAATACTTGAACACAAACTATCCAAGAGATACATGCATCGTATTTTTAGCAGCACTGTTCACAACAGCCAAAATCTGGAACTCACAAAGGTGTCCATCATTAGATGAATGGGTAAAAAAAAAATGTGGTATACATACACAATGGAATCTTACCGAGCCATAAAATGAATGAAATTCTACTATTTGCAGCAAAATGGACAGAGCTGGAGCACATCATGTCATCATGTTGAGTGAAATAATCTGGACCCAGAAAGACAAATACCACATGTTCCCCCTGATATGAATTTAGGGAAAAAAAAGAAGAAAGGTTTGTGTGCATCAGTATTACTGCAAAGACAGCTTTGTAAAACTTTTATAACTTTGTGAAACCAATAGTTAACAATCTTACAGTACCACAGTTTTAATGATCTGTAATTACTTTAAAATTTACTGCATAAGGGCGAAATGATCATTTTTCTATTCAATTATTGTTTACAGTCATTGTCAATATTCTCATTAAACTGGTATCATTTTGCTTTTTACATGTTAAACTTATTTGTTAAAGTATTAAGCCTTTTTACTGTAATTTAATTTGAAAATTGGCTCTCTCAAAAACTAAACCAAGGACAAAGAAAAGGGAGAAGGAAACACAGTGCAAGAGAATAAGGTGGAGGGTGGAAGGGACTATCATTAAGCTCTTACAACTCTCTCTACAAAGCACACTGAGCCTGTGACACACTAATTAAAATTAAAAGAAAATACAAAGAAAAACGATGTTCCCTACATCACTGCTTACCTATTTGCAAAAAAGAAATGCAGACACTCAATAGAGAATAAGAAAATGAGGTACATTAAGTAAAAAACAGATACATAACATATTAACTATGAACAGTATGGTACATAAAAAAAAAAAAAAACGACATATGCTGGGGCCGGAGCGGCGGTGCACTAGGTTAATCCTCTGCCTGCGGCACCAGCATCCCATATAGGCACCGGGTTCTAATCCCGGCTGCCCCTCTTCCAGTCCAGTTCTCTGCTGTGGCCCGGGAGTGCAGTGGAGGATGGCCCAAGTGCTTGAACCCCTGCACCTACATGGGAGACCTGGAAGAAGTACCTGGCTCCTGGCTTCGGATCAGCATAGCTCCGGCCATGGAAGCCATCTGGGGAGTGAAGGAATGGAAGGAAGCCTTTTCTCTCTATCTCACTGTCTGTAACTCTACCTGTCAAATAAATGAATAAAAATCGTTTTTTTAATTTTAAAAGATTTTAATTATTTTTTTATTTAGTAAATATAAACTTTCTTTTTTTTTCTTTTATTTTTTAAACTTTTATTTAATGAATATAAATTTCCAAAGTACAGCTTATGGATTAGAATGGCTTCCCCCCCAATAACGTCCCTCCCACCCGCAACCCTCCCCTTTCCCACTCCCTCTCCCCTTCCATTCACATCAAGATTCATTTTCGATTCTCTTTATATACAGAAGATCAGTTTAGCATACATTAAGTAAAGATTTCAACAGTTTGCTCACACACAGAAACATAAAGTGAAAAATACTGTTTGAGTACTAATTATAGCATTAAATCTCAATGTACAGCACACTAAGGACAAAGATCCTACATGAGGAGTAAGTGCACAGTGACTCCTGTTGTTGACTTAACAAATTGACACTCTTGTTTATGGCCTCAGTAATCACCCTAGGCTCTTGTCATGAGCTGCCAAGGCTATGGAAGCACCCTGAGTTCACTGACTCTGATCATTTTTAGACAAGACCATGGTCAAAGTGGAAGTTCTCTCCTCCATTCAGAGAAAGGTACCTCCTTCTTTGATGACCCATTCTTTCCACTGGGATCTCACTCGTGGAGATCTTTCATTTAGGTTTTTTTTTTTTTTGTTTGTTTGTTTGTTTTTTTTTTTGCCAGAGTGTCTTGGCTTTCCATGCCTGAAATACTCTCATGGGCATTTCAGCCCAATCCGCATGCCTTAAGGGCTGATTATGAGGCCAGACTGCTGTTTAGGACATCTGCCATTCTATGGGTCTGCTGTGTATCTCACTTCCCATGTTGGATCATTGTCTCCCTTTTTGATTCTATCAGCTAGTATTTGCAGACACTATTCTTGTTTATGTGATCCCTTTGGTTCTCAGTCCTATCATTATGATCAATTGTGAACAGAAATTGATCACTGGGACTAGTGTGATGGCATTGGTACATGCCACCTTGATGGGACTGAATTGGAATCCCCTGGTATGTTTCTAACTCTACCGTTTGAGGTAAGTCAGCTTGAGCATGTCCCGAATTGCACATCACTTCCCTCTCTTATTCCCACTCTTATATTTTACAGCGATCACTTTTCAGTTAAGTTTCAGCACTTGAGAATAACTGTGTATTGATTACAGTATTCAACCAAAAGTATTAAGTAGAACAAATACAAAAAATACTAAGAGGGATAACATTAAGTTGCTCATCAACAGTCAGGGTAAGGGCTGATCAAGTCACCGTTTCTCATAGTGTTCATTTCACTTTAACAGGTTTCCTTTTTGGTGCTCAGTTAGTTGTCACCTATCAGGGAGAACAAGTGGTATTTGTCCCTTTGGGATTGGCTTATTTCACTCAGCCTAATGTTTTCCAAATTCCTAACAGGGATCACTTTTCAGTTAAAATTTAAACACCTAAGAATAATTGTGTGTTAATTACAGAGTTCAACCAATGGTACTAGAACAAAAAAAAAATACTAAAATGGATAAAGTATTACATTGTACATCAACAGTCAGGACAAGAGCTGATCAAGTCACTGTTTCTCATAGTGTCCATTTCATTTCAACAAGTTTCCCCTTTGGTGCTCAGTTAGTTGTCGCCAATCAGGGAGAACATATGATATTTGTCCCTTTGGGACTGGCTTAATTCACTCAGCATGATGTTTTCCAAATTCCTCCATCTTGTTGCAAATGACTGGGTTTCGTTGTTTTTGACTGCTGTATAGTATTCTGTAGAGTACATGTCCCATAATTTCTTTATCCAGTCTACTGTTGATGGGCATTTGGGTTGGTTCCAGGTCTTAGCTATTGTGAATTGAGCTGCAATAAACATTAATGTGCAGACTGCTTTTTTGTTTGCCAGTTTAATTTCCTTTGGGTAAATTCCAAGGAGTGGGATGGCTGGGTTGAATGGTAGGGATATATTCAGGTTTCTGAGGAATCTCCAGACTGACTTCCATAGTGGCTTGACCAGTTTGCATTCCCACCAACAGTGGGTTAGTGTCCCTTTTCCCCCACATCCTCGCCAGCATCTGTTGTTGGTAGATTTCTGAATGTGAGCCATTCTAACTGGGGTGAGGTGAAACCTCATTGTGGTTTTGATTTGCATTTCCCTGATTGCTAGTGATCTTGAACATTTTTTCATGTGTCTGTTGGCCATTTGGATTTCCTCTTTTGAAAAATGTCTATTGAGGTCCTTGGCCCATCTCTTAAGTGGGTTGTTTGTTTTGATGTTGTGGAGTTTCTTGATTTCTTTGTAGATTCTGGTTATCGACCCTTTATCAGTTGCATAGTTTGCAAATATATTTTCCCATTCTGTCGGTTGTCTCTTCACTTTCCTGACTGTTTCTTTTGCAGTACAGAAACTTCTCAATTTGATGCAATCCCAACAGTTAATTTTGGCTTTGACTGCCTGTGCTTCTGCGGTGTTTTCCAAGAAGTCATTGCCGGTACCGATATCTTGCAGGGTTTTTCCAGTGCTCTCTAATAATTTGATGGTGTCGGGTCTTAGATTTAAGTCTTTAATCCATGTTGAGTGGATTGTTGTGTAAGGTGAAAGGTAGGGGTCTTGCTTCATGATTCTGCACGTGGAAATCCAATTTTCCCAGCACCATTTATTGAATAGACTGTCCTTACTCCAGGGATTGGTTTTGGATCCTTGATGAAATATGAATTGGCTGTATATATTTGGATTGATTTCTGGTGTTTCAATTCTGTTACATTGGTCTATTCATCTGTTTCTGTACCAGTACCATGCTGTTTTGATTACAACTGCCCTGTAGTATGTTCTGAAATCTGGTATTGTGATGCCTCCAGCTTTGTTTTTGTTGTACAAGATTGCTTTAGCTATTCGAGGTCTCCTGTGTTTCCATATGAATTTCAGCATCATTTTTTCCAGATCTGAGAAGAAGGTCTTCGGTATCTTGATTGGTATTGCATTGAATCTATAAATTGCTTTTGGGAGAATGGACATTTTGATGATATTGATTCTTCCAATCCATGAGCATGGAAGATTTTTCCATTTCTTGGTATCCTCTTCTATTTCTTTCTTTAAGGTTTTGTAATTTTCATCGTAGAGATCTTTAACGTCCTTGGTTAAGTTTATTCCAAGGTATTTGATTGCTTTTGTAGCTATTGTGAATGGGATTGATCTTAGAAGTTCTTCCTCAGCCATGGCATTGTCTGTGTATACAAAGGCTGTTGATTTTTGTGCATTGATTTTATACCCTGCTACTTTGCCAAACTCTTCTATGAGTTCCAATAGTCTCTTAGTAGAGTTCTTTGGGTCCCCTAAATAAAGAATCATATCATCTGCAAAGAGGGATAGTTTGAGTTCTTCCTTCCCAATTTGTATCCCTTTAATTTCTTTTTCTTGCCTAATAGCTCTGGCTAGAACTTCCAGGACTATATTGAATAGCAGTGGTGAGAGTGGGCATCCCTGTCTGGTACCAGATCTCAGTGGAAATGCTTCCAACTTTTCCCCATTCAATAGGATGTTGGCTGTGGGTTTTTCATAGATTGTTTTGATTGTATTGAGGAATGTTCCTTCCAAACCCAGTTTGCTTAGAGTTTTCATCATGAAAGGGTGTTGTATTTTATCAAATGCTTTCTCGGCGTCTATTGAGATAATCATGTGGTTTTTCTTCTGCAGTCTGTTAATGTGGTGTATCACATTGATTGTTTTGCCCACATGAAACCATCCCTGCATACCGGGGATAAATCCCACTTGGTCTGGTTGGATGATCTTTCTGATGTGTTGTTGCATTCTATTGGCCAGAATTTTATTGAGGTTTTTTGCATCTATGTTCATCAGGGATATTGGTCTGTAATTCTCTTTCAATGCTGCATCTTTTTCCGGCTTAGGAATTAAGGTGATGCTGGATTCATAGAAAGAATTTGGGAGGACTCCCTCTTTTTCGATTGTTCAGAATAGTTTGAGAAGAATTGGAGTCAGTTCTTCTTTAAATGTCTGGTAGAATTCAGCAGTGAATCCATCTGGTCCTGGGCTTTTCTTTGTTGGGAGGGCCTTTATTACTGTTTCAATTTCTGTCTCAGTTATGGGTCTGCTTAGGTTTTCTATGTCTTCCTGGTTCAATTGAGGTAGATTGCATGTGTCCAGGAATCTATCCATTTCTGATAGATTTCCCTGTTTGCTGGCATACAAGTCCTTGTAGGGATTTCTGATGATTCTTTTTATTTCTGTGGTGTCTGCTGCTACGTTTCCTTT